AACACACACATTACACCCTCTACAATAGCATATAACACATCCCCTACACACATACACTCCACTCCCTGGGTGCGATCTCATGGTTAGGCCTTGTAGGCATAGCGTTTATGGGCGGGATTTGTAGGGATACTCACGTGTAAGGGGCCCCAAAACATGGAGCTGCTTCTTGTTTGTTGATTTTTGTGAGCACTGCCTCCAGAGAGCCTGTTTTAACACCAGACCAGTAGAGCCAGAATGCAGCCTGAGCCCATCATCATCCTCTTGTACTCATCTGGTGGTAAGTAGGCAATCCAGTATATTATTAGTGGCACTAATCTCTAATTTATCTCACATTAAATGGACACTGTAGTCCCCAGAACCACTACTGCTTAATGTAGTTGATCTGGTGTCTATAGCCTGTCCCTGCAGACTTTTTAATGTAAACACACTGCCTTTTCAGAGAAAATACACTGTGTGCAGCACTGGCATTGGCTATTATAGCAAATCATTGTGATGTCACATGGAGCATTGTGATGTCACATGGAGCATTGTGATGTCACATGGTGGGCAGAGCATATGGGTGGGCGGCAAATTTTTCTTTGCCTAGGGCGGCAAAAATCCTTGCACCGGCCCTGACTGTAGGCCACATTGCAGAGGAACAGAAGCACGGCTTATGAAGACATTTAGTGCCCAATTCTGTTACTCAAGTTCTGTATATTGCAGCTCAGTGAATATTTCAGACAACTGTTTGATGTTCAAACAAACTTGGAATGTGATGAATGAAGATCATCAAAAACCAGTCAGCCAGTACCTTCATACCAGAAGAAAATCTGGCAAGATATGCTATAGCGATAACTCACTTTCTTCTAATATGCCTTTCATTAAGTTCCACATGTGAGCACAGTCTCATTTCTAAAATTATGTTTGGATTGCTTTCAAGAGACTTTCATAAATAATGTGTACAATGCAGAGAGTACAGCACACATTGTACTCAGTGTAAACACGTTAGTGTGCAACTTATCATTTTTTACATATTTATTTTGCTTTACGTTACCCTGGACTAGCCTCTGCACTTCAACTTCAACATTGTAAAAAACAAATGCTGAAATCTATTTTTACAATTACTTTCTTCTTAAGGTCATGGTACAAATGTTAAAGGAAATCGCAATTTAATTTACTATTCGTATAGAATGTTGCAATGGCATTCCATTTCCAATCATCATCCCTCCCACTGTATAGCTAATTTACAAAAATGCAATAGTACAAAAATATATTACAAATACGTCTTTTTCCTTGCAAGTTCTCCTACGGATCTTATATTCTCTATCTGATGCTTGAATAAACCAGGAACTGTCTGAGGCCAATTCAATGACTCCTATGGCTGTCCATAAGAGGATAACTGTGCGTGTTCACTTATTTCTAATTGATCTCTGTGTAACTATTTGTGCAGGGCATGGCAGCCAATAGAGTAGCTGCTCAATTGCTGAAAACTTGATTGAGAACCTCTTGGGCTCTGGCAGCTTGCTCATGGAGGTACTAAGTTGCTGTGATGTGTGATTATCTTACCTGATTTGCCATATTTCAGAGCCTCCATTCTTAAATGTCCACTATTGTAACATCCATCATCCGGTCCTGCCATACTCTTGATCTTCTGTAAACTGATTGGCCCAACATGAAGATATCTCCCCAAGCAGTGCAATCCTCCTCCATGACACCAACATGCTGGCTTCACTGTCAGTACATCTGCATCAGAATAAAATTATATCAGTCACTTTACTCCATTAATGGGAGTAGCACTGTGATTTCTAAACGTTTGCTAGCTTTTTTTAAGCTTTGTTTTTGTGTTTCAATCTTTATTTATAGCATGCGAAGAAGTAACATAATGCTTGGTAAGCCACAACAGCTTCCACAAACATAAAGATAACATGCAAAATTAACATGGTAATATGCATTTGCATAAGCTGCACATTTTTAAATTTTGTAGTATGCTTAGACATGGTTCAAATCAGTTTAAGGACATATGAACGCTAAACTTAGGGTGTCCGCGTGTTGCTTTAGTCTCCACAAGTGGCCAGTAGGGTCGGATGGAAATTTAAAGGCAGACCCATTAGGGTTACAAGCTTGTATCCACCTAGGCGGCCCACGCGTAGCTCAGTGCTGGCTACCGAGTGGTTGGGAATTTAAAAGAAAACTCACTTGTGAAAACTTCTTATGTACAATAAACAGGAAATGAAAGATAACGTTGCATGAGGGTGTAGGGCCTGTGTAGTAGGGACCATGGGCTACAGCAGCCTGTGGGAATGACCGAGAGGCTATAATGTCCCGCATATAAGCTGTGCATTGGGCACATGAGTTAGCTCACTATACATGACATGTGTGTGCTGATAAATTAGTCTGCCTAATGCTGCCTTGTTCAACCTGTTTGGGACACTGTGCAGAGTATCGTTAGTGGTGCGGCATAGGTCTCTAGACAGGGTTTACTGAGAGTAGTGTGTGTCACCTAAACATGAGGGTGCTAGGCACATGTAAAAGCTAGTTAGAAATAGTCATTAAGTTTGAACTTAAGTGAGTCATTCTTTACTCCTTCCCTGCAGTCACGTTCTCCGTGGATGGTGTGGCGGGGTCATCCGATACCTTTGCTTGGCAGTCTAAGAGCAGGCACCTAGAGGCACTGGAGTGTGGTGAAGAGTCTTGATTGGCAGGTTGCTTCTCCCCATCCCCAGGCCTCTCGTGAGGTTGACATCCATTGTACACAGACTCGGGGGCTCAATGAGGCCGGGTCTCTCCCTGTATGGGCACTGTGGAGGGTCCCGGCGGTTGTCCGCCACCCACGGCCTTCCGACGTTGTGGTTGATGTCTCAGAGGGGGTCTCCTTGTGACCTCCAGCCTGGGTGGGTGCTTGACATATCGCTTTGCCAGTGGTTTTTCCTGCTCTGCCCCGTGACCTTGATCGTCTCCACTTCCCTGCCATGGTGAGGAGGGAGCCGTGTATCCCGCCGCTCCAGTTTCTCCCAGAAGCAATTAAATATGTCATCCAGACGCTTGTGCAATGGCTGAGAGGGTGCAGGCATTGTGGTGTGGGTGGCAGCCGCCATTTTGCCGGGCCTAGTGCCCAGTTTAGGCCCAGTGCAGATGGAGTGTGAACTATAATGGTCCGCAGGGGCCTGAGGCCACATGTGTGCCGATTGGTGGGGACCAGGATAACCCCCACCGGTCCATAGAGGGGGGAACGGAGGCTCTTAGTAAGATCAGTCAAGGTTTGTGGTGCTGGGCGCGCAGCTGTCTCACCCGCATCGCTCATGCATCTAGGCCGCAGGAGTTGTCCTAGAGGAGCTGGCTGTTGAATCCACTTGTGTGGCATCTCCAGGTACGTCTTTAGGTCCCCTGTCTTTTGATGGTAAGGTTTAGCCAGTTTCTGTTCATGGAAAATTAACAGGATTTGCTGTGTATCGCAGGAGGTGTTGCAACCTGCTTCCACTCTGCTCCGCGGTCAGGCCCGCCCCCCTCTTTTGCTAGCTTTTGTGCTGGCTCTATGTATAGGTGATTTGTGTGCTCTTTCAATAGAACATAATTCAGTATACTCATGACTAGTAGACGTTAAATTTAAATGCACAGACTATATTTTGAGTGGTGCACATCGTGACATGCATGATGTCTTTGCTAACAAAATTCAAGTTATGGTAAATTAAAAGGTCTTGGAGAAAATATTCAGAACTAGATTTAAATTCTACTCACTGTAGAAGCAGAATCCGCAAGCACCCCTATGTTTCTGATGCTTACTCCATGTTTGCAGGATACACAAGAGAGTCATGTAGTAGGTCTCCTACCCTCTCCCTTACAAAAAACATTTGCTCATCTCCCAACAGTTCTGGTTTCGGAGTCCTATCCCACTTTAGTTCCTGGTGTCCTGTACATGGGGACTATCCCCGGCCAGCTCAGAACATTAGATCCATGTGGTTTGGCAGCACTGCCTTCATGATCCTGAAGGCTAAGGACCTGCCAGGGGGGTCTACCAAAGAAGCCTGTCGAGAGGGTGGCTAAGGAGCCCCTTGGTGAGCAAACCCACTCCTTTTCCAGGTTTCTTTTTCCAGTTTCGCTGATGATGAATTGCTTTTTCCAGCAACTTTCATATCACAGAATACCTTTGATGACATTACCTTTAATGTAATTTAATTCATTTTATTAGGCATTTGCATCTGCGGCATTTCGGGTTGAAAATCAATATTCAGGAATGAAATATTTCATGCTGTGAATTGTAGCTATTTGATAAGTATTTACATGAGTGAGCCCATTTGTCTGTCGGCGCATCCATCTGTTCATCCACCTAAAAAAATTGTGGGGTTTGGGAAACAGCGCTAAAGAAACCCAAACTATAAAGATGTTATTTAAGGGGTAGCAAACATGAAGTGGTGCTCCCTCTAAGCCCTACTGACAAATGTAATAGACAAGATAAATACAGAAAAGGTTGCGCCATACTACCGTATATACTCGAGTATAAGTTGACCCGAATATAAGCCAAGGCCCCTAATTTTAGCACAAAAAAATCTGAAAACTTATTGACTCGAGTATAAGCCTAGGGTGGGAAATGAAGCAGCTACTGGTAAATTTCTAAATAAAATTAGATCCCAATAAAAAATTACATTAATCGAATATTTATTTACAGTGTGTGTACATAATGAATGCAGTGTTTGTGTGTTTGTGTAGTGTGTGTATATAATGAATGCAGTGTGTGTGTTTGTGTAGTGTGTGTATATAATGAATGCAGTGTGTGTGTGTTTGTGTAGTGTGTGTATATAATGAATGCAGTGTGTGTGTGTGTTTGTGTAGTGTGTGTATATAATGAATGCAGTGTGTGTGTGTTTGTGTAGTGTGTGTATATAATGAATGTAGTGTGTGTGTGTGTTTGTGTAGTGTGTGTATATAATGAATGCAGTGCGTGTGTGTGTTTGTGTAGTGTGTATATAATGAATTCAGAGTGTGTGTGTTTGTTTGAATGCAGTGTGTGTGTATATAATGAATGCAGTGTGTGTATATAATGCAGAGTGTGTGTGTATATATTGCACATTGTGTGTTTGTATGAGTGTGTGTGGATATAATGCAGACTGTGTGCATTATATACACACTCTGCATTATATACACACACACACTCTGCATTATATACATACACACTCATACAAACACACACTCTGCATTACATACACACACACTCTGTGTGTTTCTAATGCAAGGTGTGTGTGTGTATGTATAATGCAGTGTGTGTTTTTGTGAATGCAGAGTGTGTTTGTGTAGTGTAGTGTGTGTGTGTAAACTGGGTGGGGGGAGGCATTTTTATTATTTAAAAAATATATTATTTTAATATACTTATTTTAATATTTTTTGAATATTATTATTTAAATTATTTTAATATTTTTTTTTTGGTCAGGCAACAAGCAGGGAGGGGGGCTGTAACATTCCTTGGTGGTCCAGTGGATGGGCTGTCAGCTCTGTGCAGCTCCCCAGTTCAGCTCACAGTGTAAGTCTCAGGGTCTGCGTGCCGCGCGGAGTGTTGCCACGCAGGGCCGGCGCTTCCTATAAGGCGAACTAGGCAGCCGCCTAGGGCGCCATATAGGAGGGGGCGCCCTGCGCCCCCAACGCCGGCCCTTTAAATTCTGCAGCCGCCTGAGCGCTCTATAGAGAGCGCTCAGGCGGCTGCTGCACTGCCTCACCTCCCCTGCACTGTAGCGTGGCCGAGCTCCTTTCCGGTCCGCGACCCGGCCGGACTGACAGGAAGTGCACACTCAGTGTGCACTTCCTGTCAGTCCCGCCGGGTTGCGGGCCGGAAAGGAGCTCGGCCACGCTACAGTGCAGGGGAGGTGAGGAGAAGCTGATGGGGGGGGGAGATGAGATGATGGGAGGGAGGGGAG